CGCCTACCTAACACCTCTGCTTATCTATGGGTCACAGCACCCGGTTGGAAAAATGCAACTCCACATCGAATGAAAGTAATCAAATGAACGAGTATACAAATGAAAAAATGTGTAAATGAATGAGTGAATGTATAATGAAAATGTATATAATGAACATGTAATGAAATGTAATGAAATGAATACAGTCATTCTACCCGCGTATATTTGGGTTTTAACCACAGCCACCACGACACTCCCTTTAAGGAACCAACCTCAATGGTCAGAACTACTTGCTGGTTCCACGACCAGATGACCTGCATTTTCTCAGACGCCCTATTTTCAACCTCAAGCCTACTTTGTCCTTCAATAAGGACGAGAAGGTCATCAACATAAGCAGAACATTCACAAGATTGCCCTAACTCTAGCAACAATGGTTCCATCATGAATGGTTCCATATTCCTCTCTGATTGGTGTTAAGTTTCCTTATCTTTAAAGACAAGTCTACATTCCACCACTTAATTTTATTACTATTTCTCCTAACCTTACGAAGCTTATTTCTATTGACCGAACCTACCCATTCATTTAGCTTAGCTACCTGAAGATCAACGTCCAAAGAACTAAAATCTTCGACAGACATGGTATATTCCTCTCTGATCCAATCAGAGTAATCAGACCAGGAGACACCATTTGTAAACCACCTTACATTCTGAAGGACCACAGACTCAACAGGCTCAGCCACCACAGACGAAATATCCACCTTTATCAGATTATGATCACTGAGGCTTACGCCCTCAATCACATTCCAATCAAAGACAAATCTGTTGGCTGCATTATTAAGCAGACTCACATCAATGTCGCTTTGACCGTTAGGTCCAGAATAGGTAAAAACCTCACATGGTTGATTAATTACATTAATACCATTAGCAGCGCACCACTCACTCAACATTTCACCACGTGAATGGCTTGAGTATTCTGCCGAAGATCTCGACATTTTACTATACCACATTGGTGAAATGGCGTTAGCATCCATCCCTATAATAAATGGAATATTACAAGCATTCAAGTGCACTGACCTCAAGAACTCGATATAGGCTTCCAGTGGATCGGAAAATTTGCAGTACACACTAACAAAGATAAACCGACCGAAATATCCTTCAACAGAAACGGCCACACCCCATTTAGAAGATGTGACCTGAAGACATTCAAGCGCTGAAACAGCGACCACTACAGCAGACTGACCACAATCATCGGAGAAAATTCGAAATGCAGCAGTCAAACCAGCAACAGACTGTCTTTTTACAAACCTATTTGAACCATGCATCTGTTTGATGTATGGTTCCTGAATCAGTGCAACAACACACTCAAGTTCACCTATCGTTTGACCTAAAGCGCACGTAGAACTATACGACCTACCACAGTTTAGCTGAGCAAATGTAAACATAATTAGTGTCTAGCATTCGCTCTAGCTAACATACCGGCGTAAACCGGGCAGTTTTCTGACATCATTAGATGACCTGCCGGTTTAACCTTGAAATCACAATTTCGGCAACGTAACGCATTGACACAATTGAGTACCCTATGACCTTGCACGCCACAACGACGACACACTTCGGAAGGAAAACGACAATCAGCTACTTTATGGTCAAAACCATAAGAACGATAGCAACCCATTACTGGGTTGAACTAACGGACCCTAAAACTAAACCACTTAATGTAGCAGCGACCATTCTCTAAAAGAGAGTTCATCACTGAGCTACAGCCTTCTAACATCACATTCAAAGAACCTTCTGACTTAGCGTCCTACGGACGACTGACTAACTTCACTTTCTTAGCAAAAGCATCCTGTGATATTTTTCCCTTAAAATTCAAATCGAACAACTCCTGCATGAACTCATCATGGGAGATCTGACTATAGACACCCTGAACTACAACCTTAGACCCTAACGTTTCCCTAACTGAAACGTCTAACCCTACTTCATTTAACTTAGTGTTAGCGGCTATTTTCTTTCTTTCTGGCACCGAAGGAGTCCGAATTATGGCCGCCTCACCATTTTTCAATGGCTTAACACCAAGTATTCTGACTCCCAAGGTGGGACCTAATTCCCTAACTACCTTGTTTACTACATCTTTAGATGATGCCTTTGCATCCTTACTCCTAACAACCAACGACCACGTCTCAGTGGGCTTAATCATTTGCTTCGAATCTATTACAGGGCCTACCTTACTGCTATTTGCAGTATTACTAACAACACTACTGTAAGACTGATCTGCTCTACCTACTTTGTTGGCAACAGCATGCCCACCTGAAGAAAACCACTTTTCAAAAACGTATTTAAGCAAATGAGAATTATTAAAAATAGCACAGCAAAACACTCAATATCAAGAATGTGAGAAAATACTACAATTCCGTAAAATCACACACAATTTCAACGAGCGTGGGAAAAAACAATTTCGCAAATTCACACACAACATCAACGAGCGTGGGAAAATACAATTCTGCAATCTCGCACACAGTATCAATTACCGTGGGAAACAACAATTTTGCAATTCCCACACAAATCAAGGAATGTCGGAAAACCTACAATTTCGTAAATTCACACACAATTATATACTAGTAACGTATTTAAGCAAATGAGAATTATTAAAAATAGCACAGCAAAATTCTACAATATGAGCAAATACCATAAAATTTCTTAGAAAATAAATACTCACAGCGCAATTTGTAGTCACTATTTTTTTTTTTTTTTTTTTTTTTTTTTTTTTTTTTTTTTTTTTTTTG